CTCGCATGCCTTGGAGTCACCTTCTACTATTATATCTAGTACTGTTTATCTTCATACCAAAATAGTGTTGTATTTAGAGATTCATAGTGTACTTCTTTAGAACTTATGACTCTGTACCACCGATTGTGGGAATTGTACGACTGTTATTCCGGTATGGTTTATTATGTCATTTATCAGCTTAACTTAATAGCTTAATCGTTTATTTCTGCTAAATTCTCAGTGTGTGTTAGGCTTACCTAATTTTAGAGTATAGCTGTTATCACGATCCCTAAAGTAAGATTTTGGGGTCGTGACAACACCGATTCGAGGTCATTTACCAAGAATATTGATCGTGGTCCACTCAAGTCTCATTTTATGGTCAAAAATCATATTTTGTTCAAAATTTTACAAAAAAAAATTTGGAAAATGACATGGATCACACACGCAAGTCAAGAAACATCAAATGAAGGTACGAGAGATCTCAAAACACAAAAATAATGGCTAGCACTCAAAACGACCTATCAGGTTGTCGCAAAAATATCACAATTTTACTGATAAATATTCTTTCTCAACAGAGCCATAGAGACTTTTATATTTTCTTTCTCTTCCCCTAATCTCTTTTTGAGAGGGAGACTTGGCAAATAAGGGAATGTTTCAATTTAAATGAGTTTATCTTCCTCTTTTGAAGACCTTATGTATTTGTTCTGCAACATTATTTATCTTTATCATCCTTCTGCATGTGTCATTAACCTTTACATTCACTCATGGCCTAAAATTTGTCTATGTACAACGTATAAACACAAAATATACAAAAGATGTCTCTAATACAATGTGAATTGGATAAAAAAGGGTCTAAAACTGTGATGACCCGATATGTCATCTTATGATTAAAAACCAAATTCTGTGTTCTGAGGCCTTAAAAACCTTATTTTATCCCTCCTCGATTTGCATGCGCAGTACGGGGCATTTTTAAAAAAGCTTTTATGTTGGAAGTTGATAAAAATAAGAAATTTTGCTTACAACTTTATTTGAGTGGACTTCGATCAACATTTTTGGTACACTGACCCGGATTCATATTTTGACAGTCCCGGTGGGTCCGTTCCGAAATATGGGGCTGGGTGTATGTCCGAAATCGGAATCGGAGGTTCCTAGCCCGAGTTATGAATTTTTGTTGAAAATTAAAAGTCTGAAAATTTAATGATTTTTAAGAATTGGTTGATGTTTGGACTTGTTGATACCGGGTCCGTATTTTGGTTTCGGATCCCGGTACAGGTCCAATATAATATCTTTTACTTATATGTGAAATTTGGTGGGAAACGGAGTCGGTTGATGTGATTCGGACGCCCGGTGGTAAAAATAGTGATTTCACAGCTTTCTTGAAAATTTCATTTGATTTGGTGTTCAGTTCGTAGTTCTAGGTGTTATTTTGGCGATTTGATCACGCGAGCAAGTTCATATGATATTTTTAGACTAGTGTGCGCTTTTGGTTTGGAGTCCCAAGGGTATTGGGTATATTTTTGGATCTTTGGTTGAGAGACTAGTAAAATTAAGAAATTTGGGAGTTTGACCATGGTCAATATCGGGTTAAGACTATCTCTTTTCAGTATTTTGAATGCGCGATCAGGTCTATAGTGTGTTTTGTGATTGAAATTCATATATGGTTTTTGTCCGGGAGGTTCAGGATGAGTTTCGAGGTGGTTTCGGATCATTTCGGAGAAGTTTAGATTTTGCTGGTTTCTGGTGCGACACTGTTCATTCGCAATTGCGAACATTTTATGGTAATTGCGAAAACACTGTTCATTCGCAATTGCGAACGACTTATGGCAATTGCCGAAACACTGTTCATTCGCAAATGCGAAGTTTTATTCGCAAATGTGATACCTGCAGCTGAACAAAAGATGACTTGGATGGGATTTTTGATTCATTTCCCAAATCTTCTAAACCTAAACCACAAGAAGCGATTTTCCAAAGAACTTTTCTTCCCCAAATCACTGGTAAGTGATCTTAATCTAATTTCTATTAATCTTTCACTACTTTTTCATAAGATTCAACTAAACAACTAAGGTTTTCATGGTAAAATTGGGGGGTTTTGGGTAGAAACTAGGAGTTTCGAAATTCGGGGATTTAAACCTCAAATTGAGGTCGGATTCCAAATCAAATTATATATCCAGGCTCGGGGGTGAATGGGTAATCGGGTTTTGGTCCGAATTTTGAGTTTGGACCAAGCGGGCCTGGGTGTTGACTTTTGTTGACTTTTTCAAAAAATTTCTAAATTGAATTCTTTGCAATTGTGGGTAGATCCTAAGGCTTTATTTGAATTGTTTGGTTGGTAAATTGATAGATTCTATTGGTCTGGGGACTTGTGTGAAGGGAAAAGCAGTGATCTAGCTTTGAGTTTTGCAGTTGGAGTGAGGTAAGTGTCGTGGTTAACCTTGGCTTGAGGGATTAAGTATTATTTGCCTATTTGCTACGTGTTTGGATGTTGAGTACAACGTGTAGGTGAGGTGACGAGCACCTATGCATTATTTTCGAGTCATAGCATGTGAGGGAGTCTTATTCTTGTAACTGTTGTATTCTTTGATTATATTGTTCATGCTTAGACTAGCTATTCGTTATGTTGAACAACTCTTATCATGTTTTACGGAATTTGGTATTGATTAAGTATTGACTCAAAGTTGAAGTTGGTATTGTTGAACTAAATGTTGAAGTAAGACTAGTTCTTGATATTTCTATCTCTCTCTCGTTATTGTTCATTATTTTGGTGAGGGAGAGTGTTAAAGCACGAAGGGTGGTGCCGTGCAATATTTTGTAAGTGAGTGATAATGCACGAAAGGTGATGTCGTGCCATGTTCTGTGAGTGATAAAGCACGAAGGGTGATGCCGTGCCATGTTATGAGAGAGTTAATGCACGAAGGGTGATGTCGCGCCGTTTCTATTGTTTCTTATGGTGAGGTTGAGAGTAAAAGTACGAAGGGTGATGCCGTGCACTTTCCATTACTGTGTTTACTTATTTCTAGCCTTTAAAGGTATATCGATTGAGCATGTTCTTATTTACGTTGTGATTTCTTGTCTTGTAATCCCCTCAGCATGTCCCCTTCCCAATATATCTTGCCTTGTTCCTTTAGTTGTTGTTTTTGGTGAATATATTGATATACTGCACAGGTTTATTTGTAGGTGTCTTGTCCTAGCCTCATCACTACTTCGCCGAGGTTAGACTCGACACTTACTAGTACATGTGGTTGGTTATACTGATATTGCACTCTGCACTTTCTGAGCAGATTTTGGTACCGGACCGAGTTGACCCCGAGTCTAGCTACTGGCTTGATCTGTTCGGAGACTCAAGGTAGTCCTGTTGGCGTCCGCTGGCCCTGGCGTCCCCTTCTATGCATTTCCTTTACTGTTTCATTTGCATCGAAAACAGTTGTATTTCTTACTGACAATTACTTGTAGCTAAATCTTTCGTGAAATTGTGGCTCCAGATTCTAGGTACTATTATATATTTAGGCTGTTATGAATTTCGGCTTTTATTTTAACCCGTTATAGTTTAATGTTGTGAATCACTGATATGCTTAAGGTTTGGTTTAATAAAGTTTCTAACGTTGGTTTGCCTAGCAAGTGAAATGTTAGGCGCCATAATGATCCCGACAGTGGGAATTCCGGGTCGCGACAAAAACTTTTATACAACTTCTTTGAATGCGTTCTTGAAAATTCAACTATGATATTGAGGGATCATCGGCCTTCATTTGGGTGGTTAACATTTTTAGGAGTCTTCTGTAGATTTCTAGAACTTTATTTTCAATTTTCGTTTCATCGGCCTTCGTTATGTTCGATCTAAAATAAAAATTCTTTTTCATATTATTTACCTTTTACTGCAATCCTATTGGATGCACGTGTTCATAGGTATTATACTCCGTGCTATACTATTTTGAACCTTCTAATTGGAAAAAGAAATAAAAAACTATACCATTCTTATCCCCAATTTGGAGATCAAAGCTTCTTGGATAATTAAGGACTATCTTATTGTTTATATTTATCGTTTGGGTATATTGAAGTTTTTGACTTCTTCTAATTAGTTGTTTGATCAAACAATTTAAATACGGCTTTCTCCCAAATATCAGCTAGTTCTTCACATACTCCATTTGAAAATTTTGATTAATCGCACTATTATAATGTTGTTCATTCTAACAACAATATTTACAATGTTTCTTATTAAAAGGGTATAATGTAGGTTGTACCCTGATGTAAGGGTCAATGACTATTTTACGATTCGAACCTATGACATAGGTCATATGAAAACAACTTTATTATTGCTCCAAAACTCTTCAATATATCTTCGCAAAAACAAAACAAAAAAGTTCTAGCGTGCTTATATTCAAATTATTATGTTAATAAGTAAACTTTCTTGATAGTAACCTTTATATTCCAAAAGAATGATTTTCTGTTTCCTAATTCACCTTATGAGGAGAGGGACTTGGTCAATGAGGAAATGTTAAACATGTGGTGTCGTATCTGGGCGGATCTCAATTGTTAGTTACTAATTCACGTGAATTTAATATTCTTTTTTCAGACCCTATAGATATATCACAAAATGCATTAAATAATTATAAATATTTGACTGGAACCAGTTATTTTTTAGTAATAATTTGAGATCACGACAGGAATCCATGTGAACGTATAAGGCAATTGTATATAGATGACATACCATGTACAATGAACTAGTTAATTTTATATATTGATTTGAATTGATTTGATTTGAACGTATAAGGCAACTCATAAAGCTTTAAATTATGAGTTGGGCGAGGTGTTAAACAGATAAAGGAACCAGCAAAAGAATTGAATAACCAGAGAAGAAGCTCAGTTTTGTGCAATGAGGAATGTTAAACTACTCATTTCTTCTTTCAATAGCCAACTACTTGCGTAAAACAGTTTCATTGGAAGTTTTGACTAAACCATTAAATAAATTGCCTGGCCTTTCCTATAAGTAGCTGTCTTCCCTTAGTAGTTTCCACACATATATCACATTAAAGGAAATAGAAAGATCGCATATTATATCAAAAGTATAGGAATATGGCAAAGTCACTAGTGAGCTACACAACCTTCCTTGCTCTCCTCTTGTGCTTCCTCCTCATTTCTTCCAATGGTTGGTACTTCTTTCATTGTCGTTTGAATATTTGGACCCAAAACTACAATCCAATATTACATAAAATTTCAAAAATTCATTATAAATTGATTACTTTCACGCTGGTCGTTAACTTACTGTAATCCTTTCGTAGTACAGGTAGCTAGCAGCCTAGCACCTAGGTATGCCTTTGCACTATCATATACGAACTCGCTAATATGAAATGATTATCATTATTGTTATAACTTATATCCAAAAAAAAAAAACATATATTTCAGCATTTTTAGAAGAAATTTATACATTCCAATTCAAATAAATGATTTTAACCAAAAAAAAAAAAGGAAAACTTATGATAAGTTGTTGTTCCTTGGAGAGAAGCAAGCGGCCGAGGGCAAACTTTGTCGAAGGAAGAGCAAGACATTTTTTGGCTATTGCTTTATTAGTGAACACTGCGACGAAAGAATGCAAAGAGAAAGGGAGGGCAAAGAGGGGTATGTGCATTAAGAAGAGCATCATTAGACGTTATTGCTACTGCTACCACAAGTGCAAATAAGCATCAAATGTTCTTTAGAGTTCTCGTTTTTTAATTATGATAAATAAAAAGTGGTATGTTGTCTTGTGTGTGAAAGAATAAAAACACTACCAATTCACAAGAATTTGTAATTATGTTTGTATTATCATATTATACGGTCATTTTCTTAGGATACAAACAGTAATTTTCGGTGTCAAGTGAAGTAATATAAATAATATCAAGAAATTACTTGTGGTTATATTGACTAAGTTGGCTTCGCTAGTTAGCTATTATGATTAATGTACAAATAATATATTTAGAACCCGATAACTTAAAAAGGTTGAAATCATAGCTCTGCCTCTGGCTCCAATGTCCCTTCTTCATTATATTTTCCTACGAACCATGGGGTAGCTAACGCATGGCTGCACAGCTTTTGTGCACTGCACAATTTAAGCCTTATTAATCCTTACCATGCATAGTATTATGGGTTATACAGTAACTAATCGATTTAAATCAGAACACTCTTTAAATCAGAAGAGACATTAGTGTGAAACATTGTAAATATTACAATTAGAATTATAGTAGGGCGATTAGTCAAAATTTTCAAATGAAGCATGTGTATGATTACCTGATATTTGGGAAAATGAATATATTTAAATTATCCGATTGTACAATTGTCACGATCCAAAACAAACCGTCCTGATGGCGCCTATCGTGGAAGTAGGATAGCCACTACTCAATATATCAATACAGTAAAAACTTTGAAAAACAAAGACGGAAGCAATTAATATTTAAGAAAAGCCTTTTGAAAATAAACAATCCAAAATACGATACAATCCACCCCAAAACTGGGACGTCACAGAGTACATGATCGTCTATACCAGAATAGAATCTACTACAGTGTCTAGGAAAAAAAACTGAAATATAGATATAGATAATGAAGGAGAGTCAAGGCCCGCGAACGCCATGCAGCTACCTCGATAGTCTCCGGGGATCTGACTCCTTAATCAGCAGCGGCCGTGACCAGAAGCGCCTGGATCTGCACACGGGGTGCAGGGAGTAACGTGATTACAACCAACTCAGTAAGTAACATGTCACGACCCAAACCAATGGGCCTTGACAAGCATCCGGTACCTTAATCAACCGAGTACAAACGTAACGTATCTTTCTTATTACATCATCATATACTCGTGACATACGGGCCTAATAGGACAACATAATCATTTATATACTCAAAATATAGGCCGACAAGGCCGTACAATCTTTCACGTACACGACATATGTCTACAAGCCTCTAAGAGTACATAAATTTCATAAAGGTCGGGATAGAGTCCCGCCATACCAGAACATACACGTCTAAATCATACTAACCAAATAAGCAACTCCGAAGCAAATGGAGCACACCAACATCTTTTGCTGAGCTGATAGCCTACTTGGAGGGCTCTCGACCTGTCTATCCGAACCTGCGGGCATGAAACGCAGCATCCCCAGGCAAAAGGGACGTCAGTACGAAATAATGTACCGAGTATGTAAGGCAATATACTGANCTGTATCAAATATATATATATATATATATATATATATATATATATATATATATATATATATATATATATATATATATATATATATACACACACACAAACACACAAGATGTACATAAAACTCTAGACTTGGCAACTCCGAAGGACGTGGAGCTTACCGATAAAGCTGAACTCGGGAAACACCTACTAAGGAGGTCTATCTATCTGTCTGTTTGAACCTGCACGCATGAAATGTAGCGTCCCTAGAAAAAGGGACGTCAGTACGAAATGATGTACTGAGTATGTAAGGCAACAAAGTAACTGAAAGCTGAAACTGAACTGATAATATAATAACTAAAGTAACTCGGAGTCAAAGATAATCTGAAGATATGCTTACCTACTGATACTGATTCAACTCTCTCAATATGGTAAGTAAAATAGCTGTCTAGCCCTATAAGGCTCGGTATATATATATAACTGCTCTACCGTAGTAGGCTCGCTCATACGCGCTCAGCCATACTAGGCGCTGTATCTCGACCAACTGGGCTCGCTCGTAAGTGCTCGGCCACAGTAGGATCGGTATATAACTTACCATCTGATCAGAGGTTGTCCAATAGGGGCCCGCCCATCGATTATAGCTCGATGGTAATGAAAATACTTTTAGTATTGTATATATGTAAATTCTCTACTCTCTTGACTGGAAGAAGGAAATACTCAACTAAACATGAAGTCCCGATAAGAAGAATATGGTTACTTACGAAACTAGGGAAATATTAACCTCCTGCACGTATTTAAAGTAGTTGCCTATGATAACACTTGCAGTACTAATTATATAAGGTCATATTTGCCTTTTGTCATCCTAAATTTCTTAATCATATGATGAAGGCAGTAGTATTTCTCAGGAGGTTGCACTTAATTTGTCCATAAGACTAACTTATATTTGGTTCTTTATTTGCTTCACTTCTTTTTAGGAAAATCATGGATACTTTTAATTGAAAAGGTTCTGTTGTACATTCAAACATGAAATGCAAATTAACAATTGGTTTCATGAACATGCTTCCCGTTATTAGAGGGAAAAGTATATATACAGGACTACTTGTTTAAATAGACAAATATACGTAAATTTCGTGATATGAATTTTTCTTTATGTTTCGTTATCAAACTTGTGTAATGACAAGATCATGCAAAAATGAAGGAAGATCTTAGCCTTAACATACCTGTTCCTGAAAAATATGAACAAAACTACACTTAAATTTTCTTGAAATTGAAATGAATTTGCCTTCTGCTTCTAAAGCTTTGTGAACCAAAGAATGGTTTTAAGCAAAAATTTGTTCCAAGATTTTGCTTCAAGCTTCTGTTCCAAAGTTTTTGGTTTCCAGCCAAGGACATGAAATGATTTTGGTTTCAAATTCTAAATTTCAACGTTTTTTTTTTTTTTTTTTAAGACTTGGAATGAAGACTTGTATGGATTGACGTTTCTGTTTCTTGCTCTTGAGTGGATTGATACTAAATTGCTAACTCACATTTTTGGTTCCTTCAGATTCCTCCAAGGAAATAAGACTTAGAAGTCTTATTGTTATACTAAATTATTATTTAAACTTTATCTATTCTTTAGGTATAGACACCTATTTACAAATGGTATGAATCATCCTTTAAATTGGTGGCCTTGTGCCACGTGGAGAGTGGTTAATTTATTAAATTTTTATCCACTTATTAGTTAACTAGGTAATGTACTGTTACCCGGTAATTAATCAACACCCGCATAATTTAAAAATTACCACAAATTACTTAAAATTCTATTTATTTTCAAAATACTTCATATATACTTTATATATTACACTACCGTGGTCATATGGTACTAGTTTATAATTATCGGGTATTATCGCTCGACCCGTATTTTATTCCAATTGTCCATTTTCAACGAAACTCGTTTTCTTTAATCCACGTACCTTTATCCTTCATAATACTTATTTATCGCTTGTTATGAACATCGTAAGTACGTTAACGTCAAGATGATCTCATCCCCGCGTCTACGTCGGTTAACTGAAAACGAAATTATAACGTACGACGACGCTTTAATGTACGAAATTGCGAAATATAATATCTCATTTTCGGACATTCATCACATTACTTATGGCGTACTTTCACGCACGAAAACCTGGGGTGTAACATCATTCCCCCCTTTGGAACATTCGTCCTCGAATGTTGACTGGTGCGCTTATCATTTTCGTAACTTATGTCTTCTGAATTTTCCATCATGGCAACTGTTCTGTGAGTAAATCCAAATGCTAGGGCATTCCCTCTTTAGGCCTCTTTTCACACACCACGACTTGTGTTCGGAATTCTTCCAATCTTGTAACTGTTACTACCTTTTGTCATGCAGCCTATATGACTTCTTCCTACTATGTGCGCCTGTGGATTCCTTCCTTTAGCTTTTAGCTAATCACCTTTCCTTACTTTGGGAACATATACAGAACTTGACAAGATGTCCCTTTGGGTATCTATAGCTGTACTGAAGTTCTTTGCTCGGTACTTTGTTGAACTTACGAATATTGTTATATCTTGTTTCATAGACCCAGTTATCTATCTGTATGACTTTACTACATCTAGATAGGTCATACTACCAAACTCCAGGTTACTTTCGTTGATTATCCTATAAGTATAAATCTAAGTCCTTTAATGTTTCCTCACCACTGTTCATCTTAAGAGTGACGGCCTAATCCCATCTCATACTTTCTGACTTCTGTCCATCCATTGTCGAATCGCCTTAATGTAGATGTATCATCTATCAGTGATAACTTGATCTCTTATGTAACACTGCCTCTAGGGCTCATGTCTCATCGTCGAACATTTGAAGTGATTGTCTTGATCCACCTGGGGGCGATACGATACTATACTTCCATAATCGTAGTTCATAGCATCCCAGTGTGATTTTACCTTAAATGGGTATTTTAATCCTGTACAATTCATGAAATTATTACTCAATTGAAGGCCCAAACGTCATCCTCTATCCCAATTACACCTTCATTCTATTATCAGAGTAGCATTCCATCTCTTCTAAATGCCATTAAACTCATTTGAGTTCCTTTAGGCTATGTTGAGCTTTGTATAACTTAGAGAAACCATCAACTCTTCATGTTTTCGTGGGCTTAATCCTGAGGACTTATCCATTCTCGTCACCTTCTCACTTGCCCTTTATTATCCTTACTCTTGTCTTTCTAAAACCTTGTTGCTTTACCATACTTTAGCTTGCGACTTACACATATCTATTTGCATTACTCGCAACCTTCCTTCCACTTGCTTGTATCATAGGTTCCCTTGTCTTATTCTGGAACATCATCCGAGACATCACACCATCTCTAACTCTTCTTTACTCTCTTTACTAGACCTCTCAGTACCTAGAAATCATAGGCCGGAAGATATACCACTGAAGACGTTGCTATCATTCCTGTATACTGAGTCCCCGCACTTTTAGCCTTATATCCGCAGTACGGACTATTCACAACCTTCTATATTTGAGTATTTCATACGTCGTTCACCTTTACCTTACTTAGCTTAAAATTTTGCATCGTATCTTCTATCTTTTTCCTGACCTCCTTTCCACCTAGGTGTAATTCACGTCCATAACTTGAAGCTCTATTATAATACTCGCACCTCTGCTACATACACAATCCGATGTGAGCTTCGTAGTGACTTTTTATGAGACTGGTACTTCTTCTAACTGGCTTTCTTGTAG